ATGACCGGAGAAAACAGCCCAGCAGATATAGGAGTTGTTTGTTGGATCTATGCGCCAAAGACGGGCGGTGTTGTCTTTCGCTCCGGTAGCAATCCAGTGGCCTGACCAGTCGATATCGAGTGAGATGACAATTTCATCGTGACCTTTCAGCAGAGCAACATCTTGACCAAAGTAAGGGTTTGAATTCGAATCCCAGTCGGCGTCCCCATCTCGAGCCTCGGTGACTGAGACAATCCTGATGTCCTCCGAGTTTGTGGCCAAAGCAACCATCGAGCGGTCCGGAAGCAAATATCCGAGATCGATTATGTCGTCGTGTGTGCCTGATATCCTTCGGAAGGGTTCTGGAGCAGGGAGGGAGGTGGTCTCTGCCTTTCGGGGAGGTCTATATAGTGCAAGAGTATGATCAACCTGGACAAGAAGAATAAAAGGGAGACCAGGGCGGTAAATGCCAGACACAATCCCTTCCTCTTCACTCTTCGCAGATTGCTGGGGAGTGATTTCCTTGCCCATATCCGTATCCCAGATGCGGAGAGAACCATTGGCACCAGCGGAATAAGTCAAGCTTCCATTTTCGATAAAGCCAGCCGCCTCGACCAGTTCGAGGCAAGGAACAACTTTGCGAATCTTCCAGGATCTAGCGTCCCACCAGGTTATGGTCTTGTCTCTGCCTGCGGTAACAAGAGCGTTTTGTTCTGGGGAGTAGTCAAGACCTTGGATATCCGAGACGTGCGAGTCCAAATTGGCAACGCAACTACGCTTGTGCAGGTCCCATACGCGGACCTTTCCATCTTGTTGGCCGCATGACAGCCGGAAATTGGCAGTGCTTGACTCCTCCTCTTCTTCATCGGGCTCTTCTTGACGCTTGGTTTTCATGCCCTTCCTTGAATGACTGTCGCTCGGCCGAGCAGCAGCTTCGAAGAACAGAAGCGCTGATACCAAAACAGAAGAACCACGGAAAGTGTGGGTAACAAAGCCACCGATAATATCCCAAACCTTGACAGCTCCATCGGTTCCTCCGGTGGCCAACAGGGTGCTGGTCCTGTCAACTGCCATAACGACGACTGGGGTAGTGTGTGCTTTCACTGTCCTTGTGAGTGTAGCGTCAATAGTTCCGTCTCCTTGCGACACTCTCAAGGTGTATATTCTCATGGATAAAGAGCGAGAGCATATGATAAGGTGAGATCCAGAGGGTGTTACTATAACCAGTATCAGTTGCTTGCACGTTTGAGCCGTCTTTTGGAGACTGACAAGTTAATGTGGAAATGAGCTCTCCATCCTGAGAAAGTCAGTCACGGTCTAATGTGATTTGCACGTGGTCCTTACACCCTCAATTTGAGCCAAATGCTTCCCGTTTGTAGGATCTGTGAGAACTGCATCCTCGCCGAGAACTGTGGCTAGAATACGTGCGCTATTGTCAATAGCTACTGACCCTCCTGTGAATATGGGGCGTATGACATGGTTTACGTCAAACGTGGTCTTCAACGGCTGCTTATTTGCCATTGTATTTTTGTGATTTTGAGTTAACAAATATTCGATGTAAAGAATATCATGGGTCTGCGCATGAGGTTTCCTAGTAATTTTTTTTTGGCGCCTTGTTAGAGACATACATTTGATTGGCTTTCAGGCGCATTAGCTCATCTACACCAGCCACATGAAACGCCACATCTTCGTTCATCGGGTTAGCCGTCATGACTTCAGTTGAACAACCGTAATTCATTGCAGCCAACGTAATTTCATTCAGCAGATCGTCGACACGCAGGGAGAGCTCACGCACAGAACTTATAGGGCGAGGGCGACTTTTAAGTCACATCATAAACTGTCCATGAAGCGACACATGCCCGCCTTGGGTTTGATGAGTGCGTACTTACCTTCATCATGGGAATGCAGGGCCCCTTAACTGCCCAAGCGCTTGTAAGACATCCTTTAGCTCGAGCCGTCGATTGCTGCTCTCGAATTACTGACACTGTCAGGGCCGATCTCCTTATGATGATGTTGTTGAATGGGATGATGATCATGACAAACCACCAAATACCAACGACTCTGGCCAACAATATGACCATCGAGGCCGACCAATCAACCCTGAAACCAAAAGAGTCAACAGAGACATCATTCGTTCCCATAATGAAGTTATGCTAGTTATTGGGGTCGCTGAGCAAGAGAATCCAACTACAAATCCAGAGGCCGAGTCTGATAAACGTCATGCCATGTATGAGGATGACGTGGGCACTAACCTTGCCTTCTCAGCCCTTCGCTGTGTGGACGCTGCCGGTGCCTTTGGGCTAGATGGCTTCCGTCAGCGAGTTTTGGTGTGTTTTGCAAACCCTTTCTGTCCCATATACTAACTAGGTGCCTTGCCATGACAGATTTACAAACGCTATTCTCACATCCCGTTTTGGGATTTGTATGCACAATCCCGAAGTACCTTTTCTATCTCCCAAGATCTTCTGCCTGGTGCGTCTGTCAGCCTTTTCAGTAATTACATCGACCGACAAATCGCTCTATTGTGGCGTGACAGGCCCGACAGGGTGTTTGCTCGTCGACTGTAAGCATTTTCCCCAAAGCCAATTATTAAACTTCGCAGCTTACAAGCAGCAGAGCCCATGAAGTCTGGTCATACGTTCGGGTTCATCTAGAGCTATACATTGCTCTGAAACGGCTTGGCCTGGCCTCAAGCACTAACTGGCTTCCAAGCCTATCCTTCTTCGTCCCATTTACTCAAGATTCACCAGTTCCGCTTCCCCCACTAGCGAAGGACCTGTCTTTCCAGTCTCTTTTACAATGGGTTGGAGGCCTGTGCATATGTTCGACGCCGTTTCTCGTCTGGATAATGTATCAGAGACTTATCCGTGACTGGAGACCCCAGATTTGGGCGAGAATCTTTCGGTGGCTACCGAACACTGGTTCTCTCCCTGGCGTGACCAACAGCTGGATGCAAGCCGACAGGTCGGGTGACAGATCAGAGCACCGGCGTGCTCGGAGCACAATCGATGATGTTTCGCCTATACGGCCGATCGACGGACAAATGCCCAACGACACGGGCCCAGTAGAAGCTGTTCGGCGGCCAAGTACTTTCTCAGCGCGTGGGGATGACTATGCAACTGACGAAGAAGATAATGAAGGCCTTAGTGCCACCTTGATCAGCTTTGATGTCGAAGCCACAGCTGAAACCAGCGAGGCACCTCCTGGACTCTGGAGCGCTGAACTAAGACCAAGCGTTGAAGCAAGGGGAGCACTTCTGCCTACAACCACCTACTGCGATACAATGCTGACGCAGCTGCCCCCTTTGATTGCCTCACATATCTTTACTGATGCCGTTTTGAGATTGGTGACTGCACCGTGGGAAGCAACCGCTCTACGGTTGATGGCCCATAGTCTCCGTCAACGGTTTAACCTCCCAACTCATGATTTTTGTGAAATTAATATTCTCAGTCATCTCGATTTGACATTCGCTATCAACTTTTTGAGTACTCAAGTGCTTCACTTAGCTTTATGCGGAGAGGTTTGGGCAGCCTTCACGACAGTGGCCACAGTCTTACACACAACCCCTGACGAGTGGCGGGAGGCCGAGGCCGAGGACCAGGAGAAAAGACAAGATTGGATAGATGAGACTGTTTAGCCAAGGCCCGATAACTCCAGGTCTTCGTACCGCACAGCATATATCACAATGCAACTGTCCAATATGAACGACTTGAACATGAATTCCACATTTTTAATCAACACTGCGAGGTTTCCTTATCGACTTACTTGCGTTCTTTGATGCTCTCAGTCGGGGTCTTCCTGACCCATCTGGGGAACAGACCTGGCATTGGATGGATTTCTTTGCCCCAATCGTTACCGTCAAGCCCTCCAAAACGTGTGTCATGTTTGCATCAGATCTTGCGTTGCAGGCATGGACTGGCTAAGAAAACATAATGCATGGATGTTTCAAAAACAACCCCCATGCCTGACTGAAGGCCTATGCGACTATGGCTGAACAATCCGCTTGATGCGCTGCATAGTAGGGATGCACGCAGAGGCTAAGATACCGGGAGAAGGGCGTTGAATATGGATGCATTGTCAAAGGAACCTTGCTATCTGATGGGTTACAAGACGTCACATACTATTGTCTGACATGTATGTGTTGAATAGCTGGAATATACACAGCAATATAAGGTAATGTGAAAACCATTACACCTTTCTCAGATTAGTCTCATATCCAATTCCTTCAATCTACTCATATCATGGAGTTACTGTTATAAGTATCAATTGCAAAGCTATTCAACGAGAACCAACAAAACTATTCTAGACTGGCACAACAAAAAACTTATGCCGAGGGGTTATTGTGAGCATTGACTTATCTCGGTACGGATACACCGACCGTCTAGGGAGGAAAGAAAGCCCAAGACCCCAATCCTAAATAGATAAAAAAGACTTAGACAATACAGCATAAGTTTAAGATACCTTTTACTGGGTTATTTTAACACTTTGTATCAAGGTCTGATATTTTCTTGCTCACGGAGGACTGGGAGGAAACGAAGAGTATGCAAGTTCCAGAACAGGACTAGTGAGTGGTCTTAGAGGAGCTATATACAGCGTACATAACTAAAATATCCGACTACGATTCAAAGACATACTTATAGTCAGAGGAAAGTGGTACAATCCCGTATCACTTATAAATCGGGGTGCTTCTAACCGGCGTAGCACTGAGCCTCAATTGTACTCAATAGTAGACAAGCACCAAAGCTAGCACAATAATACGATGCAGATGCGGTACAACTTATTCCATATAATGCTCGCTAATTCTCTTGTCGTAGATCCTGGTTTAAAATTCATGTCTATAGCCGTGTAGCTTCCGTCATTTCTTGCCCCTCATGATCATGTTAACCCCCACCTTGACTCTTTTTGATGATGACGTTTCAACTGCTACTTCAATTTCCAAACCAACCTCATTAGTAACCACCCGAATCCTACAACTGAAAATTCACATCAAGAATATCGATTATCCTGCAAACTACTGAGTAATGTCTGAGCGTACTGTCCTTATAACCGGCGCTACCGGCCTGCTGGGTCGTGAGGTCGCTACAACGTTCGGCCTCAAGAACTGGAATGTCAAAGGCACGGGGTATTCTCGCGCAGATGGAGTCAATACTTTCAAGATCAATCTAAGCGATGAGACGGAAGTGGGAGAGTTTCTGGATGAGACCAAGTTTGCAGTCCCTCCCCTCTATCGATGCTGTGCCAGTAGACTGACGTTACTATCTACCTCCAGACCACAGGTTATTGTCCACTGTAAGCTACCTGGCATGTTTCATTCGTACAGAGACTAACCAATGACGCACGAAAGGCGCTGCTCAAAGGTTCCCAGACAAGGTCGATAAAGACCCCGAAAGTGCCCGTGAACTCAACGTCGCTGCGAGCAAGGCACTCGCTAAGCTGGCCGCGGATAGAGACATATTTGTCATATATATATCAACCGACTACGTGTTCCCCGGTACGCCGGGGGATGCTCCGTATGAAGCCGATGCCAAGCCTCGGCCTACCAATCTTTACGGCCAAACGAAGCTGGATGGTGAGAGAGCCGTCTTGGACACGCTGAAGCAGGTTGGAAAGGAGGGCCTGGGTGTCGTTCTTCGAGTTCCTGTCCTTTATGGGAACGCTGAGACGCCAGCCGAGAGTGCGGTCAATGTTCTTATGGATGCACTATGGAAGGCACAGACACAGGGAGCTGAGATTAGCATGGACCACTGGGCAATACGCTATCCTACGAACACAGAAGACATTGGTAGGGTATGCCACGGTATGTCTCACTCTGCTTTTGACCACCAGGTTTCAAAACCACGGTGTCATTTGAACTAGTCTTGCCAAAACTCCTTGAGGGCAACAAGTGCGCGAGAAAATTCCGCTGATATTAAGCACAGATATTTCCGTCAAGTACCTCGATGCTCCAACTAAGGAGCGATCTTGTCTTCCCCGAGTTCTCCAGTTTTCCTCAGAGGATCGAATGACGAAGTATGAGATAGTGACACTATTTGGTGAGATAATGGGCCTGTCAACGGAAGGGATTAAGCCCAACACGGAAGGGAATGACCCAAATGCCAGTGTACAGCGACCTTATGACTGCCACTTGAGCACAAAGGCGCTAAAAGATCTGGGAATTGATGTTTCAACCTGCGACTTTAAAGGCTGGTGGAGACGTGAGGTTCGCGCATTTCGCAAGTAATAGGGAGCACTGCCAGCAAGGAGAGCTGCATTCCGGTGTGGGACATGTATTCTTAAGAGGAAAAGTTTCAGATGAGATGGTGGGTTCCCTTGAGTCGTGCTCGGTGGAAAAAGGGAGCATGTCTTGGGCGCAGAACATGACTGAAGACACGACGTATAAAGAAACCAGACCGCGAAACTATCACTTCATTATTTCATTCGCTGAACTGAAGACTGATAAAAGACGACTATAGAAAAGTCACGGCTTGGTCATGTCTTTGTCAGATCATAACGGGATATCAACTCAGCACGTTTCTATTGTTGGGAACTCTTTTGGATTACCTAACTACTAGGTATGGTATATAGTACCTACCTACCTACCCCGTAGGTAGGCAGTGTTTAAAGCATCTACCTTAACCAGGTACCTATGACGATTTACCTACCGTAGGTCGCTAAATAGTTTGTTGAGACATGCAACTCCCCTTGCACTAGGTATGTAGTTGCTAGCAGGACTCTAGAATACGTTTTGCGGCGGATAAAACAGAGCTGGCGTTCACACGGTCGCAAGCCGCCATGTCTAAAAGCGCTATCTTCATTGAAATCGGCAATTTTTTTCTCTGTAAATCCGTTCCCATCCTGGGGAGTATCTTTGCGTCCTAGGTAACACTGGAATGAATGTCTAAAGGGAGCAAGTTGCACCTCGGCCCTTAAAAGCCCGGCCTCATACCAGAGACTCGCCTCTTGCACCTGGCCACATACCATTGCTGCAATTGAGCGGGTTTTTATTACATTGACGAAAATAGAGCTTTGTCTAGGGATGAGTTTGAAATAGCTGGTCTGCACTTTCTCGTCAAGTCATGTGGTGCTTGCTTCTGTTATTATCAATGCCGACTCCCGCCCCCTTCAGCGCTCTCGCCTTGGATTCTCGTCGACTGCTTGTTCAAATTTCAAATTGCAAAAATTGTGGCCGCTGGTTGCTCTCTTTACAGCATCTTCTTTGAAAAACTTACACGATCAGCTTAACTCAAGCTCTTATTCCAATATCAGCAATCAGCATTGTTCACCTGGTGTGAACGCTTTTTGAGTTTCGGTCTCGTATTATCTACAAACGAAAGCAATCGTTTTCTGATCATCGAATTGAAAATTCACGTTCTCATGGATGCTACTAAAATCCATCGGCTTTTCTTCTCGGTCGTCGTTACCTATCATTTCTCAGCTTCCTTGGAGTAGACATACCTGATACGAAAACGCCCTCCTACCTAAGATCAACCCTGTTGGCGATCTTAAGCGACGGCCTGCCCAATCTTCTTGCAACGACGGATCGATCCGAAAACCTTGTTGGACGCTTCAGGTCCTCAAAGGGTCCGATAGGGCTGCATCGGTGCTAATCAAGGGTCCATTCACCACTGCAGGAACAAGTTCGTTAGCGGCAGCACCATTAATATGTCATCGTCAGTGGCGGTCGCGACTGCCCCATTGCAATTCCATGACTACTTGCAATTCCCAATCAATGATACCAAACCACCAATACCGGACTTCTCGAAATATAGAAATTTACGCGGGAAAAGTGTGTGTGCTGAATCTCGAAAAACATTTGAGGTTTATGCCGACCCGCCATCAGAAGGGGCCCATCTTGCCGAGGGGGATTGTTACCCGCGACTTGACTCACCAACATTAGTCCCGCGAAGCGTTCGACGCCGGTCCAAGAGTGTGACTTCGTTATTAACTCTAGCCCGCGAACGAAAACTTATTGAGCCGGTGGTCCCAGCGCTGCCGTCCCCCTCAGTCTCGGTTTCAGTTGGCAATCGTGGAGTCGAATTCTTGAAAGGTCTCGCGGAGAGTGTTACAGGGGTCATTGGTAGCCTCTCTCCACGAATTGCGGCCAGCGCTGGTAATGACAATGGGCCCAATAGGCACCGTCAGGATTCGTTGTGTTCTGTGCCTTCGATCATTCGCTCCCCGGTTCCGTCAGTATTGGTGTCGCCGTGTGCACAAAGCTTCGCTGGCGCATCAGGCAATTTAAACTTAGCTTCAGCAGAGTCTCAGACCGCGCCGTCGCCCGCTGTCCCGCCCGGCCCCAGTAGCCCCCTGGCAAGTCCGTTATATGTTCTAACGCCTAAAACTACGAACATCCCACCATTCCTTTCGAACTTAGCCTCGAAACCTCTACCTCTACGATCTCCAAATTTGAACCAAGAATTCTCCCGCAGCACTGCGCATCTTACTGGTCGTGACCGCAGCCGCAGTCGAAGTCGCAGCCACAGTCGTCCTCGGGGCCCAGACTTATTCAAACCCCTTCCACCGACATATGCCTTTGATCTGCCAGCTCCAGAATCACCTATACTTCGTACCGTGCCATCTGCGAGCGATATTGCCAGATTTAAACGTCGCAATCTACACGCCTTGCGAATCAATACTGAAACTGCTGAACGCGCTGCAAAGATCGAACGAGAGGACCTTGAGCGCGAGGAAGACGAATCTGAACGCCTAGCCGACATAGTTGCCCGTCTTGAAGCTGAGACTGATCGTATCCTCGCCGAGCAGAAGAAACGCGACCTAGCCCGCCGCCGGGCGCAACTGCCGACTCCTTCCCCTAAATTTCCACGGTTTCTTGTTCTTGACAAGTTTTCATTTCTCTATCGCAGTCGGCGATCGAATGCTCTGACAAGCCAAGCCGGTACGCCAAGCCCAGGGGCACCACCAGTCTTTTCTCTTGATCTCAGCCGGCCTACCAGTCCTGACGAATCTTCATCACCAGGAAAAATGAGTTTCATAGAACAGGGTGGTAAAGGTATCGTGCCAGGCACTGACGCCCCAACTTCGGCCAGCAATGGAGGTGAGAGAGTAAGTTGTATCCCTAATCCTTAAGTGTGCTCATTCGGATTCTAACCTGATTTTTCGCCGCAGCGCGTGTGCGTACGATGCCTATCATCAGTCATCAATCTTCCTGTCAACACTGATACCTCTCCTGTTGATATCCTCTACTCGACTGCCAACCTGACCAGCCATGATATCGATCCCAAGGCCAGTGTACTGATCGAATGCTACGTTGAACTTGGTCTCGAACGGCGCCTACGCCGTTACGAAAGAATTCGTGACGTTATGAATTCTTGGGATCGCGACCAGCAGAACTCTCTTCTTGTTGTCACCAATGATATCTCACAAACCGATGATCCTGATCTCGATATGAAGTCTGTGCCACGAACACCAAACCCTCCCCCAGGCTTCACGCTGCAAATGTACCACTCTTCCAGGCCAGGCAAATGGAACAAGCGATGGATCACCTTGTTGGAATCCGGCCAGATGTTTGCTTCCAAGAAGCCTGATTCAAAGGCTTCGGACAAAGACAGTACTGTCCTGTGTCATTTATCAGATTTTGACATCTATACCCCAAGAGAGAGTGAGGCCAGGCGTCATCTAAAGGCCCCCCGGCGCTTTTGCTATGCTGTTAAGAGCCAACAGAAGACGTTCGTTTTCCCAAATGGCGAGAATTTTGTTCATTTCTTCTGCGCTGAAGACGGAAAACTTGCTAGGCGTTTTCTTGAACTTGTGCAACGTTGGCGAAGCTGGTATCTGGTCAATAAGCAGGTTGACTTCGGGAAGAAGGACAAGCCTCCACAACTTGCCATGCATTTAGAAAACGACACGGTTCCCAAAGCCATTTCCAGATCGAAGAGTTCTGCCGCATATAAAGGGCATAGTACGCAGGTTTCCGTTGACGAGACGCCATACACCATCGGTGCTTTCCAGCCACTTCTTGATATGGACCGTTTTGATAAACCCCTGGAGGAGTTCGGCAAAGATCTAGAACAGGACAAACAAAAACATGGAGATCCCGATACTGAGTTTAGAAGTGGACTCGTCCGGAAGGCGACCTGCAAACAGCCAAACGTCTTAACGAAGTCTAAATCAATACATCAAAAGCATAGATCACCGCCAACGCCTCGGGACGAGGCGCAATTCTCTTCTACGGGGCTTTTGGGACAAGTATATGAAGAGAAACGCAAGATAGCTGAACGGGCGCCTGTCATCAGCCCCCCTCCCACCAACGCGGCTTTCACAAAAGGAGCCTCGCTCCTGGGTCAAGGTTATGAGCAAAAGCGCAAGATTTCTGAGCGAGCGCCTGTCAACAACAGTGTTCCTTCAACGAATGCCGGTTTCACAGAGGGTCCTTCACTTCTCAACGGTGGTGTTGTCTCGCCAACGTCTCCTAATGAGAATATGGCAGATTCAAAATCATGGTTTCCTTTGGGAACAGATCAGTCTTCTCAGCCACGCTACCGTAGCCGATCTGTCCGAGATTCCAATAGGCGTCCTACCACGTCTGAGAAGGTCCCAGATATGCCCCAGCCGCTAGTCAATCTTACCAACAGCTTCCCTGAGCCACCTCACTGGCGTGAGAATAAGGGTCGTGGTGTAAAAGCACCAGCCGGCGGTCCCTTAATCAGTCTCGCTACCGGGGGATCGACAAACAATTTATTCAACACTCGGAGTGCCTCTGGTCTTGTTGGGCAGTCTCGACCTCTGCCCTCTTCTTCGTCTATGGCGGTTGGCAGCCGTCCTCGGAGTCGGTCTATCGCAGGAACTCAACCATCGCCTAGCCATGCCCCTCCTGTTCCTCCTTTGCCAATCCGATCGTTACGTCGAGAGAACACTGCGCCGCTTGAACAGTCTCGTGGCCGTGATCCTCGTCCGCGAGAGCCATTGATCAATCGAGCCGGGACGACGGGCTTCTCGTCAAGGAAGTAAACAGAGGCCGGAACCTTGCTTCCTTTCGCAAACGAGGGTTATTGAAGAAGAAGATTATGCAGTTATGTCCATCATGTCCAAAGAACAAACGTCCCTCAATCATGACTTTGTGGCCTTCTTGACGAATCAGAATATTACATAGTACTGGTTTGAGTGAATAGGAGTGGAAGCGCCAAAGAGAAAGCAGTGCCAGGTTCGGGCAGGGACCTGCGATTTATGTCTGGTTATGCCGTATTGTGTTCCTTCTTGGCGTTTTCCCGGAGTTTTTGTTTT